GCAATCGGTGCGCCCTTGAATGCGAGGGAGCAATCACACCCTGTACTGTAGATATCGCAGGCGCGCAGAGGCGCGCGGGCCACTCGTTTCAAAACAATCGCCCGGATTGATTCGGACCGACTCCGTGAGCCGGTCGTGAGAAAGGGCTACGGGCTACGGGCTACTGGGCTATAGTCGTTTGAGACGGAACTCAACCTTACCCACTTCGGCGGCCACCGGCGCGGACTCTAGCAACAGCACCTCTACCGACACCGGCGCCTCCGGCTCCGCCAGCTCCTCGGACTCTACTGGCGCATCTGCAAGCAACAGCACCTCGTCCGATACTGGCGCGTCGTCGTCTGACGCCGGCAGCGCGTCTTCTTCTAAGGGATCCAAGGGCAAGGGTTCGGCCAGTGGCTCGGCCTCCGACTCTGGCGCGGCATCCTCGAGCAGCGGCGCGGCAAACAGCACATCTTCTGACACCGGCGCGGGCGCGACCGCTGGGTCCAGCAACAGCACCTCGTCCGGCGACGCCACGGGTTCAGCATCCGGTGACGCTACTGGCTCAGCCTCTGGCGACGCCACCGGCTCTGCTTCGACTGGCGCAGACGGCACGGGTTCGTCTTCGGCTACTGGTGCCTCGGGCGCGGATGGATCCGCGTCGGGCGCTGATGGTCAGGCTAGCCAGATCATCTCTGAGATTGAAGGTGCTATCGGGCAGATTTTGGGCGGTGCAGGCGGAGCGGCCGGTGCGGGAGGCGCTGCTGGCGCCGCCGGCAAGCGCAATATCCCTGGCCGCTTCGCGCTCAAGCGTTCTAGATCTGGTACGTCTTTTCTGACCTCCAGATGTCGACCATATACTGATGACATTCATCTTCTAGCTAACGCATCTGGCCCCCTCCTGCTCAAGTCCTTCTAATCATGATCGGTATCCTTATCATAGCCTGACCGTGCCATGGACACTGCATACGGACCTAGATTGACGGACGCTCGCGCTGTATCCTGTATTATGTGCTATTTACTGCTTCGCTATTCGAACACTTCGCTGCCAGAGGCCAGCCTTTCTAATCATACCTCCGTTGTGTGATCTTTGAGCGCGCCTGCTTGGTCGGGGCGTCTTCGACGTGTTGATCCCGTTGCAATTTGAGCAGCTTGCCAGGGTTCGTTCTCAGTCGTGTTGTGGAGGAAGGTGGCTCACGCGCCATAGCAATGCTGATGCACAAACAATGAGTACAGTACTAGTCCGTGTCTGGGGGAAGACGATGATGCGGGTGGATGCGGGCGGTTGAGAGGGCGTATTATATAGTGAGAGGACCTTGACGATCGGCAGTGGTTTATGATATCAGCGACGAGAACGCGATGAGTGCTACGAGAACGGTGCGATTGCGGGGTATGACGTTTCCTTGATTGAGTTGTTGAAGTTCCTGTCGACCCGTAAACGTCAGTCAGAGTCGGCTGGTAAAGTTTTTGCAGGAAGTAAGACTTACTGATTGACGATGCACTTGAGCCAGTTGAAGAGCGATGAGGAGCGATGAAAACAGAGAGACGATGCAGCGGAGGTGAGGGATCGCATGAGGGAAGCAGAGAACACAAGAGCAGAAAGAGCTTGAGAATCTTGGATTCCGGATTGAGAGAGTCGTTGCTTTTGGGTGCGTCGAGATCGACGGAACTAGTACCAGCGGGGCATGGTTGCGTCGCTAGTGAGGTTGCGCTGGAGTGCGGGGCGGCGATCGCGGGGAGTGGCGTCTACAGGCATCGAGTCGAAGCTCTCCCTGAAGCTCGTATGAGCAAAGATTGTGGTTGGACGATAGAAGACTCGACGTACCACGAAGCGGCGGAGCTCGCACGCGAGGGGCCGTTCGAAGAAGGCAGCGAGCGATAGTGAGACGGGACAGGTGCGGCATAGTCCGTGCTAGGGGTCATGAAACTGCTAGACCCGGTACGGGGCGTGAAGTAATCGCCGTCAGACGAGAACGACGCGCAAGTGGCTGGCGCTGACCCAGGTACTTGTGGGAAGCCATACACGAACGGCGAAGCGTACGGGTTCAGGTAACCCGAGCTGGTGCTGCTGCTAGGGCGCAGAGGCGGCTGCATCTTGTCCGCGGGGTTGTCGAGCATCTCGACTAGCAGCGCATTGTTGCCGTAGACTTGACCGTGCAACGCATGGCAGGCTTCCTGCGCGTCACTGGGCGACTCATAGATCACGACGGCAGAGTAGAGCCCATTCTGCCCCGTTGGCTGGCGCTCGATCTTCTTAACCTTGCCGTACGGGTACAAGAGGGGCTCAAGGTCGCAATCCTGAGAGAAGAGGAGATTCGGAAGGTTCGAGATGAGCAGGGTCGAACGAAGCTGAAGCGTGTGCGACAGAACGTTGTGAAAGTCAGGCGGGCTGGCATTGGCGATGTCGCCGAAAACGCGGCTGGAAGCGCGCGGGTGCATCGCCTGGTTGGACGCGAACTCCATCGCCGGAGCGGGAGGGGAGTGATCGGTCGGGGACTCTAGAGCCACGCTGCGGTCGCCACCATCAAGGAAGCCTAGATAGACGTGAGCGATAGAAAACAGACTTCAGCCAACGGCACCTACCCTGAGACCGCTGCACCACTGCCCATGAGACGTCGACAACAGAGCCGCTACGCAACGACGAGTGAGCGTATAGATATCAAGATGAAAATCATGTACGAACCGGATGTGCGTCCGAGAGATGGCATCCATCGCAGCCCTTGCCTGGGCGTGACTTGACATCACGACGAAGCCGCGACGACGAGATGCGTTGTCCACCGTGGCTAGGATCACACAATGGTTCACCGTCCCATGGCAAGAGAAGATCGACGTGAGCTCCGCCCTGTTCGTTGGTTCACCAACTGAAGAGGAAGAGAAAGAAGAGCCGCGTACTTAGTAAGATCGAAGGGGATGCCGAGCACGTAGAGGTTACGACGTGTGTCGTTGCGCTTCTCTGGAGGTGGAGGGCGGAAGGGCGGGGCGGTGTTCATGCCCGTGACAGTACTGGCGAAGGTTCATGATCAAGATCTCGACGGAAGTAACGAAGGTCCTTAGACGGAACATCTACTTACATGGGAGCACCCTTGATCGTGTAACCTGTCATGCAAAGCGCTTTGCTATAGCATGCGATGTTTAGCATACGTCTTGGTGAACTTGTGATAGATGAACATGTACGTACGCGACGAAGTCTTGAGAGTGAAACGTAAGACAGACAGTACGCTCGTTGTCGTTAATCTCAGCGGTCTTGATGTTCCCTGGAGTACTTCAGCATGAAACTCGCACGCAGACATCGGCGGGGTGAAGACGCTTACCCACGAGGCTACCAAACAACTCCACGACATCCCGCCCGCAGACTATCGCTCAGAAGTTAGCCTAGGTCGAAGCTCGCCGACATCAACGAATAATCATACCGCCGATGGGCACGTTCTCGACTCTGACGGAGTGAGCATCGCGCTCGAGCTTGAAGGAGGACAGGGCGGCGGCGGTTGCGTCTACGGGCATGGTCGAAGCGCGATCTAAACAAGAAACGGCGAGCAAGCAAGAAGAGCACTAGAGACTCCCTCTCGGCGGTAAGCAGATCGAGCAGGTAGGAAGCAAGGAGTGCCGCCAGCGCAGAGCGCGCTTTTGAACTGGCATTCTCCGCTGTTCGCGTCCATCGAGAGCCACGCGCGGGGGATCGAACGTGACCGCGACGTCCAACGTCGGAACGCCACGCCCAAAGATCGCCGCGCGGCGCGCAGGCAACTTTCTCAGGACACCCATCTTCAGTAAGCGCGACTTGTACCAACTCTGACGGCCGCTGTCGCAGTACCTCCAGGACTCTCTGATGACGTAGCTTTCTACTATCTTGCCTACCCTATACTATGTCGATTGCCTGCCTCCGAGTCCGGGCCTACTCTACAGCCTTCAGACGCTTGAAGTCTGCCGTGCACTCTCGCATTGAAGAGCTTCTCTCGATGGCAGTCTGAGGTACTGCTTTGTGCCACTGATAGTGGTAGGGTGACAGTGACTTGCCTGTACGTGATTACGTCTACCGCCATTTCCTCCCAAGCTCGAGCTAGAGCGCAAGTTCTCGTATGATCTGATGGCATCGACCAATTGGTTAATAGCATTCAGCTCACCCTCACCTCTCACCAGAGTGAGGCCTATTTGTGCCACGGGGTAGTGCGGTTGTCTTTAAGAGAACCTCGCTTGGTTACTGCTCCAGATATCGAGGGCTAGCTTTATCGGTGGTGCCGTTGGAGTTGAGCCCGTTTCTTTTGAGTGCGCCGCCTACAAGAGGCGACGACCACGTAACGGATCGTAGTGTATTATACTATGAGGGGAGCTCTGCTTCAGTGCAGATTGTTTTCACCACCCGCACCCCTGTCATTCGGACTTTCGAGCGCCCTGCTGATTCTGATGAAGAAGATATACGGAGGCTAAGGGTGGATCTGTAGAGGAGTCATGGTAGACTCTGGCTTCTCAATATATTCCCTAGCTTCGGTCAGAACGCGTACTCATTTTCGAGACGACTACCGACGGGGCTTGCTACGGTTGATGCACGCTTGGATGACCCAGTCCAGCCCGCGGATTGTGCACAGTCCGACGGTACATTTCTAATCGGAGGTATGGAAGGGAGGGGTACGAGTAGCCGAGACTGTTCATATGGCTGGCTCGGGCAGGACTTCCGATCATCACGAGTCTCCAATCGTGTATCCGTATGTACATCGCGGCGACGCGTCTCCTACGCGTTTCAGAAAACAAACGTGACCGCGTTTGATGACGTCAATATCAATCCCGAGGCGCCGCGTGAAATCCTCTTCCTCTTTCAATCGAAGGCCTTCCCTCAGCGTAAGGGCTAACGACGAAGGAAGACCAGAAGCAATACGCGCAGTCAGCAGAAGAAGCACGTATTTGGTCATGCGAGAGAGCCCTCCCCGAGCTGTTTTTGCACCGGAGTGCGTGCTCGCCGCCACTCCGAGGAAAGAAGTTCACGCGACGAACCCCAGGCGGAGCCCAACAAGGTAGCGCTTCTACCACGACGGCGCCTATTTCTTACTTGCAGCTTATGAACCATTTCCACCCTCCATTCGTCCCTGCGAAGTCTCGTCTCAAACAGAAGATCCGAGGTCTAACGCTGCGCATGACCCTGCTCCCGGCTGGATAGACGGGCGCCAACAACGCCTGCCACCCGCGTGATCCCGAAGTCCTGAAGCGCTCTATTGCATAGGAACGCCGGTATAAAGCCTGCATCCTAATCCCTTATCACCATCATAGCACTCCTCGTCTGCTCTCGACGCCGTACAGCCATGCCTTCCGTCCCTGCTACTGAGCTCCGTTCTGCGGATGTTGCTGCCGATCCCAGCGTCAAGCCCGGCGCCGCCGTCAACAATGGGATCCCGCCACCGAAGCTGGACTTGCCTGTACGATCCTCTGTGCATTGCATACTTAGGGATACTGAGCGCCTGTATAGTACCCTGACAGCGTCGAGATTATCACAGCCAACCTGTTGAAGATGCTCGAGAGTGCGCCTACTCCGCGCCTGCGGTTCGTCTTCAAGAACCTTGTTACGCTGCTTCACCAATTCGTAACCGAGACTAAGTACGTATTTGACTCCTGCATAGCCTTTGTGTCATACAATACGTCTGACTGTCTTGTGCAGCATCACGACGGACGAGTGGATGTCAACACTCCAGTTCCTCACGCGAGTCGGGAAGATGTGCACCGATACTCGGCAGGAGTTCATCCTCCTGAGCGACGTGCTCGGTGTTAGCGCGCTTGTGGATGCCATCAACAACCCTGCGATCGGCGGATCGACAGAGAACAGCGTTCTCGGTCCGTTCTTCACGGAAGACGCGCCGGACAGTAAGTATCCCTCCGCGCCTGCTGTCAGCCGCCACTCCCGTAGATCTGATTGCTGACTTGCTGTGCAGTTCAACTTGGTGATAGCATTGCTAGCGAAGGCAAGGGTGATTACATGTACGTGGAAGGTCGTGTCCTCAACACCAAGGGCGAACCTATCCCCGGCGCTGTGATTGAGACGTGGGAGACGGATGACATGGGTGCGCGCCAATCTATCCGGTCCTTCCACACCGAGACTGACCGAAGTCTCTTCTACCTTATCCATCCAGGCTTCTACGACGTACAATACGCCGACCGCTCTCAGGCTGATTGCCGCGGGCGTCTGAGAACGGATGCAGAAGGTTACTACGGTTATCGCGCGGTTGTTCCTGTGGCGTACCCTATTCCAGGCGACGTGCGTGCCCGGTCTTAAACGTACATCTTCTCGACGCTGAGATGCTCTAATAGGGCCCCGTTGGCGATCTACTGGTCATGCTGAACAGACATAACATGCGGCCTAACCACTTGCACATGATGATCGAGGCTCCCGGATACAAGAAGCTCACCACCGCATTCTATCCCGAAGGCGACCCTTACCTCGCGAGCGATGCCGTCTTTGGTGTCAAACGGTCGTTGGTCGTGGTATGTCGTCTGTCTGAGTCTTTGTACTGTAGCCGCTCACCCATCTCATCGTGCAGTCGTTGAAAGATGTGGAGGACGATGCCGAGGTCCGAAAACGCGACTTCCCTAAAGGCAGCAAGTTCAAGCTTCTTCAGTTCGACTTTGTTCTACCGACAAATGAGGAAACCCGTCAAGCCCTCGAGCTTCGCGCCAAGGAGCTAGGTATCGCGCCGGAGGAGATGCGCGAGAGCGCTCCGCGCGTATAGATGTAGAAATTACGATGTATGACTTCTTGGATTTATGTCGCCGTCGTGTACATAGGAAGACTCCAGCACTTGTATTACTAGCTCTCTACCCTCCAATCTGCATTTGCCACTCATGCTCGGCGATGCGGAGCCGAATCCCGCGCGCGAGAAGTCGGCGCCCACACACGTCCACAGCGCGTGGCTTGCCACATCGTGCAACAGCAGTTCACAAACTTGAGCTCAACGCTCACACCGTCTCATGTCCTCCGAGGATGTCCCTCCCCAAGTCAACGAGCCCGTGCGCTCCCCATCACCACCACCATCTCTCCATTCACGACCTTCTCACGGCCGAAAGATGAGCGTAGACGCCGACGCCCAGGCTCAAGTGATTTCCTCTCTACGAACCCAAGTCGACGACCTATTCTCCCAAGTCACTCAGTTGAATGGCAAACTTGTCAAGTCATACAATCGCGTCTCGGACTTGGAAGATGAACTTCATGTTTCTTCGGCTGCTGCACGTGAAGCTTCTGTGAAGATAGCCGCGCTCGAACTCGAGAGGGCCACACATCTCTCTGCTCTGAACACTGGCTTGCTGGTCGAAAGGGAGCATGTCGCGGCTGAACTGTCCAAGTTGATGGAGCGCGCGACGGATGAGGCGGCGCGACGTGGTCAAGCCGAAAGCGCGCGGATGGAGATCGAGAAGGATTTGGACGACCTCAGCGCCGGATTATTCGACCAAGCCAACACGATGGTGGCCGAAGCCCGGTTCGCCCGCGCGCAGAGCGAGCGAAAGGCGGAGGAGGCGGCCCGGAGTCTGCGAGAGGCAGAGGACCTCGTCCGGCTGATGCAGGGCCAGATGCAGCAACTGCAGCAGCGTGCCACCATCGCTGAGCGGGCCGCGAGGGATGTCGTACCACAGGCGGAGATCGTAGCCGTCGGCATCCCGCGCTTGCTGGGGAGCCATGCGGGCTATACCGAATTCATCGCTTTCGTAGCGCACATTCGGACACTCAGGAGTGCGGCAGGACAGCCACCAATCATCTCGACATTGCTGCATACGCCATTTTTGGCACGGCTGGTTGCGGAGGATACGTGAGTGGTCTCATATCTCATACTCCTGATCTGTACTGAATGTGGTGGCATGTAGAGAGCCAACCGTCCGACTTGACCTTGCTCCTGGCCTCAACTGGTTGACCCGACGGACCTTCATCTCCGCGATTCACGCAGGACAACTCGACATTGCACCAGCGCCCACATCATCGCTCCTCTCGCCGGACTCTGCCACGCACGGTTTATCCTGTGCTCTCTGCGGTGCTATCATCATAGCAGGAACAGCTTCGCCTACGGATACAACTCCTGCTTCACGCTCAAACTTGGGATCACTGGCTACGGCTGCGAGGAATAACTCATGGTCGCAGCTCCTCTCGAAACCGCTGACCTCATCGCGGCCTTCATCGCCTCCTCCCCATTCGCACTCGCGTCAACAGTCACTGGATATATCTGTGCCCGCCCAAATCTTCGTTTGCAGGTTGGCAACACCCGTTCCTGCATCTGTGCCCGTCCCAGGTCAACCAAGGAGCGCTCAGACGAATCAATATCCTCTCTGCGCGAGCGGTTGGTGCTTGGCACGTCTCAGGGCTACGTGCACATTGTGGAGCTTTATCCGCACAGGCGTCGTCGAGCGTGTGTGGGAGGATACACCCGCGCCTCCACCGCCTCCCCAAAGGTTGGCCTCTCAGTCCCTCAACTCTTCGCCAGTGTCACCCGCCACGCCAACAAACGGTGGAGTGACAAAGAAGCGTAGTCTATGGGGTGTCGCATCTGTACTTGGCTTCGGCGACGATAAGGAGAAAGAGAAGGCGAAAGAGGATAAGGGCAAGGCGAAGGAGTTGCCACCCCCGCCGCCGCATCATCCTGCAGAGAAGCCTGTGAGGAGATCGGTACCGCCGCCACTTGCGTCGCCTGTACCCCGCCCTGCGGCTCCGGGACACTCCCCCATCCCACCACCGCGCTCGCCGAATCCTCGTTCGGCGAGTACTCAGCAACCCGCACCTCCCCCTCTCCCACGTCGCGCGACTTCACGTGCTGCAGTGACACCCGTGGGGCTTAAACCAAGCTCGTCGCAAGAGCCCGATAGCGATGGAGGGTTCCACACACCCGCTGAAGAGCTTCCTCCGACTACAAATGGCGACGGTGAGCATGTAGAGGGCGAGCATAAGCCTGGTCATGCGAAGAAGGACAGCATGCTCTTCGAGGCGCCATTCACGCCACCTGCTACACCACCTGTTCCCGAAGGCGCTCCGGTCGAAGGCGAGGCTAAGCCTGCAGAGGCATCTGCACCAGTGGCAGACATGAAGCGTGCACCCGCTGCGACAGACGCGCAACCTTCGGAGGCCGCCGTTGAACCCACATCAGGATCTATTCCCGCCGCTGAGCCAGCACCCGCATCAGAAGCAGCCGTACCAGCAGAACCGCGCACTCCAACGAACCCCGCTTTCGCAGAGGGTGCAGAACGCACAGGATCTCCCGCGCCTCCGCCCGTACCCCGTCGTGCGCCTGCTAGACGTGCCGTCCCCCCTGCACCTGGTACGCCTGGGAGGGTCGGAACCCCTGTTGGTGGTGAACGGGTCGGGACACCCGACAACGGAGAGCGAGCGAGCACGCCTGCTCCCGACGCCGCCGCTAGTGCGATCGAGGCGCCCGCCCCTGATGCTGCGGCAGACGCCGCACCCGTCCCGAGCGAAGCGCCCGTCCCCGAGGCGCCCGCCACGGAAGCACCCTCGGCCGAAGGGTCTGCGACCGAAGCGCCCGCCTCGTCTGATGCCCCCGCGCCTGAGTCGACAGAACCCAAACCACCTCTTCCTGCCCGCCCGCGCCGCGCGCCGCGCGACAGCGTACATCTGCGCGGTGGATCGGTTAGCTCCATCAGTGGGTTGGAGAAGGTCGTGAATGGGGTCGATGATGTGAAGGAGGATACGGACGAGCATGCTCCTGTCGTCAGTGGGGTCGACAAGGGGAAAGGCAAGGCAATCGAGCCTTCCTCCTCTGCCGAGTCAGATATCAAGCTCGCCGACGAACGCGTTGACACCGACGCTGAGCCTATTACATTCGCCAACAACTCTGAGCAACCTTCCCCGGCGGTGGAGGAACCCGAGGAGCTCGCGCCCGATGGGACGCCCTTCGTACGCGGGGCGAGCTGGGAGGCGCGAGCATGGAAGGAACTGATTAGGCTGAGGGAGGATATGTTCTGGGCGAGGGTTGGTGGTGTCCGGTGAGGGATGGTCGATGACTGTCTCTGAAGCTCGCCGCGGCGTCTGTGGCCGGCGAATATAGACGGACTTCACGATGATGATGGACTTTGGAATGTTGTGTGCTGGACATACTACCGCTACGTATCGTTATGTGCTTTACGACCTCTTCGTCCGTGTTTGTTCTCCTAAGTGCCTTGCTGAGCGCTGAGGGAAGCTTGCGTGTGTTCAGGAATCACCGGGACCCCTCAAGCGGCCCCGAAATCCATAAATATTGATCATATACATACAACAGATACAGCGGCCGATCCTCAGGAGTCTAAGAAATATGTCACACTTCGCTTCATCGATGTTGCACGGCCTACATCGCTAGACCAACACAGTCGTCTTCCTCCGGCATCGTCGTTAGACCGCTCGGTGCATTGACATCTTCAGGCGCCCCTCCTCTTGACGACGCTCCAGTCAGCCTGCGAAAGAAGGACACTCGTTTTCTCCCACCAGCCTCCTCTGCACCCTGCTGTACTTATGGTGACTCGGGCTGTGAAGTGGCAAAGCCGGGGACGTTGGACTGGGAGACGTCGAATGGTACGGCGCAGGCGAAGCAGCACGAGTCGTGCTCGGCTGGCTCGGCCCGGAACCCGCGCTCGCGCCTGCGAGGATGCGGAGGCGCTCGCGCTGTAGCTTGTCTTGCGCGCTTCGTCCCTCGGGATCAGCTCGTACCCCGGTATCGAGACCGCCGAAGCGGTCGCTGTGATGAGCGGGGGAGAGAAGTTGACGAGTAGACTCGGTGTGCGGCTTCCCTTTCGCGTCTTGTTTGACTTTGGGGCGCTTTTCCTATGCGATTCATCTTTAGCTCATTATCCTTGCCAAGAGTTTCATATCTTCGACAATCTCAGAGACTAACCTTTCTTGGCGGCACCTTGGGCGGCTCCATGTGCGCATCGAACATCTGGCCTCCGAAGGACATCATCCTGGGCTACTGTGATAAAAAGCGAGCGTTCAAATGAAGATGCGGGAATCGGACGAAGCAGTTAGCGTGTATCGTATACTTGGCAGTACTCTTATGATATGCGCTGGACAGGTGGCCCATGTGGCACCAGTAGACTAGACCGAGTCCGCATGTACCCTAGCACCTTATCTCATACCACCACGACCCCGCGGCACCGCGATACAGCCCGGGTCCAAGCACCCTAGTGCAGCGCGATACACGGCACTAAGCATCAGAGATACCCGCTTCCGCCACTTCCGACCGAATTCGAGAGACAGGCAATTGTCTTTTGCACCGTCCTTTTGTCAAGCCCATCTGGACCCTATCTTTGCTACCCCCATGAAGCACCCTCTACGTTCTGTTGGTGTGATACAAGGCTGTACCGTCGCGACGATGACGGTCTCAGAAACTCGGGCGAGGGTCGGGGACTCTTTTGTTGTGTGTGGGAAGTTCGGACTCGGACCGGCTGGCGAGTCCGGCGTGGCGTCGCCAGCTGGTTGCGGCAGCCGCAGACCACGGTGTCTCTGCGAAGCTTCTCTTGATGTTTCCTCTGGCACGAGTTCCCCGCAATGCGAGGCATAAGATCACATATATACTTGTAAGTTGCATGCAAAGATGATCCATAAATAGAATAAATATTGACGATACAGAAGTCTGTAGATGTATAATTTACAGTGCCGATGAAAGAGACGATACGATACATAAAATTTACGCTGTCCGAATGCCGCAACTGCTCAGAACCCCGTAAGAAAGAGCTATGGTTGTATGGGCGCCGTTTCAAGTGCCGTCGTTGGTGGTGCTCGCTTGACCCGCAGCACCGGACTTATCATCAAGCCCCGCTCCCTCACGAGCTCCGCTGGAACTGTGACCAGCGTCCGGGACGGTCGGTAGAGGCCTTGTGTCTGTGGATGTATTTGATGCCACGGCCCAGTCGGGCTCCCTACTACGCCTGCGCGACGTAGTGAGGCCGAGCCGGTTGAGGAAAGAACTGGTCTTCGCCTGAGAGCCCTCACGGGAAGACTGCGGTCGAGGTTGAGAAGGGCCAGGAGTGTACGGTGGCAGGCTCGTGTATGTTGGCGCGGGCGATGTCGGGCGATTCGAAGTGGATGCTGACCCGAGGGCTGGACTATCCGAACCCTGGGCACTGGAGCCTGCGTCCGCAAGAAGGCGCAGACGCTCGCGACGTAGCTTCTCCTGCGCGTCCGGTCGTGGAGAAGAAGTGCTCTCCGCGGTGTATGGGTTCGGGCGCTGAAGCTCGCGATCGAGCTTGTCTTGTGCGCTAGCCTCCTGCGACGCACGGGGCGAAGGTTCTGTCTCGGTGTATGGACGCACCGCCTTGTTCTGCTTCTGTTTGGCGCGCTTCTCCTGGGTGGCACGCTTCAGTTCGTGGACTTGTCAGGACGACCTGGCAGATAAACCAACCTTTCTGGGTTGGACCTCCGGCGGTTTCCAACCTTCGTCGGGTAAACCCCAGGCATCCATGTCGTCAGATAGAGGGGAGGGTGGCGTTTGGACGGGCGTGTGGCTGACACTGAGCAGCGCCTGCTGTTTCTCCTTCGGATTCTTGGCTCTTATATGCTCGATGTGCGCAGTTGCACGTCAAGATATGTCGCCCCCTAGAAAAATCCGCGCAATTGCCGCCCTGAGCGGCATCCCAGATGCCCCGCAAGCTGTAGCCTCCGGCCCGTCGTCACGCCAACCTAATTGTCTCTCATGTTCACCTCTTTTGTTACATGACAGCACGGACGGGATCAAGACAGTATCTCATCTACACGTGTCTGTGGCTATGCGCTTATAGCGTGATTGCGCGGATGTCTCTATGGAGGTGATCGAGACCTTTTGTTCTGGGTATACGCGGAGTCTGCCGCCCGCTTGAAAGAGGTTCTTGAAGAGGTTCGATCGTGTGTAGTGTGATGACACTGAACACTCAAGGTAATTGAACGATTACACTGAGTGCTAGGCAAACTCAGGATAATGCCACCTGCTGTTGGTGAACAAATACGGGAGTCTGATGATTCAGTGAGTTCAATAACTAGTCATAAACGTCTTCCGGTGAGTACCATAGTCATGTGCTGCCAATCATATAAATACTAACAATGAGGCAGTCTACGAGTGCATATTGACAATGATGACAGACATACGATGCAATCAACAACTCGGCGGAACTAGCCCATTGTCCTAAACTCTTTGCAGAGTCTAATACTATGCGCGACCTATGATCATGTTGATATCGCTCCCAGAATCTTTGTTGGCAATGTTCTCTTCATCAACAGTATCATACTGCTCCTCAAGTGCTGTGTCCATGCGATCGAAGCTCGCGCCGGGAAGAGCGAACAAGGCCCTCGTAATCTGCGCAGGCTCAGGCCCAGCCTCCAAGACCCACTCAGGCTCACGAATTCGCATTCGCGGCATAGGGAGTCCCAGCATGTCGAATATCCTGGCCGTCTTCATCTGTGCGCTCTCGCGGGAAGTCCGGTGTTGGTGACGAGAAGGACCCGGAGTATACGGCGGTAAGCTTGCGAACGTTGGCGCGGGAGACGCAGAGCGATAGGAGGGGGGCGCTGACTCGGTTCTGGAGTGACTTGGACCCCGGGAACCGGTACTGGTGTGGGCGAGCTCTCGAAGACGCTCACGGCGTAACTTCCCTTGCGCGTCCAGCCGCGGTGACGACTCGCTCCCAGCGGTGTACGGGTGTGGACATTGGAGCTCGCGATCGAGCTTGTCTTGCGAGCTTGGCCGTGGCGAAGCATGAGGGGAGGGTTCAGCCTCTGTGTAGGGCTGCGGCTGCTTGTTCTGTCTAAGGCGCTTTCCCTACATGCGCGTTCTTCAGCTCGATGTTTTCACGAGGCGAAGTTCACTAAACTGACCTTCCTCGGCGGGACCGTCGGCGGTTGCCAACCCTCGTCGGGTAGTCCAAATGCATTCATAGGAAACTGCTAAAGATGAGGCCGGACCGGACGAATCGCGTAGGTGGGTTGAGAATCAGGCGTACCTGGGTTGTCGCTCCATGGTAATCGACCTCTTATACTTACACTGAGCATAGGCCGCAGCATATCACGGCTTAGCGACTCCTAGAAGAGTATGTATGCCTCCCTGAGCAATACTGCGCGAGTCCACAAGCTGCCGCGTTGCCGCCTATCATTACGCCGACCCAATTATCTATGGGCGTACGCCGCTGGCTCCTGAGGCCTGATCCCGCAAAACATGATGGCATCTACATGTGTACGGGGCTACACGCTTTCAGCATCAGAGACCTGCCAGTGTTGCTACGTAGGTGCGGGAAGCCATTTGTTCCGTGTGTGAGTCTGACCGCCACTCGGAGGGGAGCTTGCAGGGTTTGAACCACGCGTTTTCATGATGATCCGTAAGCATTCATGAACGTCGTCCAGGGTAGCGACGGTCGCTATCCAGGTGAGGGCAGGCTTCGTGTAGGGCATGCAGTAAGTACAGTACGCGAATGGACGGGCAATGCACGCCGTTCGTTCAGGGCATCCCGGCGTTAGGACCTCCGGGGTAATCCGAATCCAACATCGCGATCTAGTGTTGCCGTGACCTGAGTTTGCTTTGAGTCCGATTGCAGGAACTATCACATATCATGGCCAAATCATGACGTCATGGTATGATTTGAGTCGGCTGCCAACTCGACCTCGTCTCAAGCGAAGGGGGTGTGACCCTTTGGCCAATTCTACGACGCCGTGCAACGATCAGCGGCAAGTGGCAGTCCGTTCGTACGCGTCGAACCGAGAAGTATTACTGAGTCGAAGGTTATCAGAGGAGACCGCGACCATGGTGTTCTCACTTCGGTTTCGGACTGCGAGTGCGACTGTATCACTGAGGGCTGTACAGCTGGACGACCACACAAAGTGCAGAGCAACTTGTGCTCAGTCATTGCTGCAGCTTCCTCTTCCGTATCGAGAGTCCGGCAGCAGCCTTCCGTGCATCAGCCGCGCGTGGATGACGGCGCCGACTTGATTTGTGCTGATTTGAGTCCGATTTGAGTGGGGCCGAATCACGTGAAAATCCGAATCGATTCCATTCGGTATCGATTCCAGGTCAAATCACGGCAACACTATCGCGATCACATG